CTCTTTTCGTCTTTTTCAAAGGCAGCTATTTTTCATTTTAATTTTGCTTCAAAGCCCGATAGTTTTAGGACTTGATAAATCTTAGCTTTGCTGATTCCTTACTATATTTTACTTTGGATGGTTACATGACGCGACCTACAACATCGTGTACGGCTCAGACACTGCAGTTTAGACAAGTCAGCTCCACTTTTTGGGCATAGGATTACTAGAAGATGTAACAGTTCATCCGAGTTTTCATTTCCTTATTATTTTTTGAGCATATTTTTTTTTAGGAAAGACAAAAAACGTTTTTTCTTTTTATTAATGGGAGGAGTGTGGAATGTGCACAATTAAAGCGAGCTTTGGATGCCATTTTAGCCACGCAGAATACATTTTCTCCCTTTGTTTTCTTGTCTTTACAGGTATTCTTTTATAAGAACTTCATTTGGTTATCAAACATTCATTTTCAAAAGGATTATTTCCTTTTTAGTTGAGCATTTTCGTAGTCAAAATGTTTTTTAAAGATTGCACCAAATCGGGTTGATGTTAATGTACACCCAACAAAATCGACAGTTTTATTTCTGGAGCAAGATGCCATAATTACTGCAGTGCAGGATGTATGTTGTTTCATTGTTCAGTGGTTTTACAATGCCAAGATTGAATCCGTAGTACTGAAAACTAGGCATATGGCATTTTAGTATATAGGAACTGTCCTTGAAAACTCTGTTGAAACGTATGCTGTCAAGGCGCATGGTCCCGTAACAGGCGACAATGATCTCTCAGCTCCCTCGCAGTCTGAGGCTGTTTCTGACCTCATGCTCACACCAAAGTCGAAGAAGAAACATGTTATCGTTGTGAGTGAGCAACTTGGAGGTTTACAACCGTCTACTGAACAAGCCGTGACATTAAAGAAAATTTATGCACATCAGGTTTATCTTGAAGTTTACGTCGTTCGTTCTTAGAAAGTCTCAAAATCTTGCATTTTCATTGTTTTTCTGTGATTTGAATAAAAGCAAACAGTTTAGAAAATCATGTTTAGCTTGTCCGAACGGATGCGAAAGAAAGGCGGCTTGACGAGTTTGTGAATAGTCAAAATCTGTCACAGGTAGAGACGGTGTCGAATCTAGATTCGGTTCCTGATTCAGAGTAATTGTTTTGTTTCCCTTTGCAAAAGGATGTGGTATTTATAAGTTTTTCTGGAACACTGGCTTCTCTGTCTTATTCAGATTTGAGAGATGACAGATATTTTTCTGAAACACTTTTTTAATTACCTGTTTGAAAACTTGTATTATAACTACATATTCCACAGTAACTTGTGTATTAGTTTTTTCAATTTTTTCAGAAGCTATTTACGCAAAATCTTTCTTGAATTTATATGCAAAAAATGTTTTCTAAACAATTAAATGGGAAGTTTTTAACGATGGGTTGCATGGTGTTTTAAAACAAAATTAGCAGGGCGTATTATTGCATTGCAAACATGCTGTAATTTTTTTATGCTTATTGGTTTTCTATTATAATAATATTTTAGGCTGGTAAAACCGTCTACCAGTAACTGGCGGGAATTTAATTTCTCTTCTCTGGCTGCAATGAAAGGTGAAATTTGTAAGTCGACATCTCTGGGACTTCGTGGTCTATTTAAAGACCATACTTATGTTGGAGCTGTTGATCCTTCAAGAGCTCTTATTCAGCATGGTACTTCGTTGTATCTTATTAACGTCCGCCATTGTTTGCGACAGTATTTTTATCAGGTAATCACTGCATTTTTTCGTTAGAAGTAGTATTTAACCTGCTGTAGCCTGAATCATCCTGGAATAACCTATATTCTTGGGTTTTAAATGCTTCTTAAGTTTGTAGAATGAATCGTAATTGATTATTTGCAAACCTGCTCACTCAAAAAACTTATTTAGCTATTAGTGCTGTCATTCGGGAATTTTGGAAGTTTCGCA